AGTTAAACTGTTAAAGTTTAAGTATCAAGATATTTGCAAAACAAAATGTGTGAAACTTTATTCTGTATATTACATTATTATTTCAGGGAAATGCGAGTAGTAAACGTATTTAGGTACTAGTTCAGAACATAGCAGGCTAAGACCAAGAAAACATTGGAAAAGATAAACTTATGGAGATTCATAGATGGTAAACATATTTGACATTTAGCTTCTACCTGTGACTCTTTTTTACAAAGTAAAATACAAGACATCGGTTTATAATTTATCTGGCAATTACAAAGCCCGAATTACCGAATGATGATATTTTATCGAATTTTATCATCTTGCTAGTTGAACAATATATGTGAATTTATCACACACCTGTGCTGATTTTGCGACTCCGTCAATATGGTATTGCACGGCCGTGCATATATTTTGACGTGACGTCATTAGCGTTATACAAACATAGCGAAAAGACGCGCTAAATGTTAGCGTTATACTATAGGCGCGTCAATGAAAAATGACTCTTATTTCACTTTAAATGGTCTTTTTGGGGGTATGTGGTTAATAGAATATTGAATTCGTGTAAGTTCATTACTGCATTTATTGCACTTGTTGAATAAAATAATATTATAACTCGTGCAATAAATTCAGTATTGAACTTACACTCATTCAATATCCTCTATATATGAAATACTGATACAGAGGAAACAAGAACCATATTTTTTAAATTCAAAATATATATTTGTTAATTTCATATCACATAAAACATAATACGAAAGTCATTATACATAAGACATACTACAAAAGTCATTATACATAAGACATAATACAAAAGTCATTATACATAAGACATAATACAAAAGTCATTATACATAAGACATAATACAAAAGTCATTATACATAAGACATAATACAAAAGTCATTATACATAAGACATAATACAAAAGTCATTATACATAAGTTGTGATTTACAATACAAAATATGTCACAAAGAATGACTTAAAATACATAATAAGGTAAATGCTAATATATATATTAATTAATGTTGGCCTTGTAAATTTGTCCAAGTTGAAATATTTTGTAGGAATATCAGGGTAAAGTTTGCAAATAAACCCTCTTTTCAGCAAATAATAATATAACACTAATGTATAGCAAATTTGATGTGAGTGACACGTCTTTTTCCCTCATCATTAATTAACGGGTACGTCCTTGTTGAATTAAAAACACTGACAATTTAAACATCAAATTTCTAGATAAATATAGATAAATGCATTGGTGTATATTCATTAAATTATCCTTTATACCTTTTTTTGCAGAAACAGCTTGGTCCTGGGAGGCATTTCACATAAAAATTACAGTTTGGACGACTATGAAATTCCCAGGAAATTTTGACAAGTGACAGCACGGGCGGAGAGAAAGAGGTGCAAGAATAAACGAGATCAATAAAAAAGAAAAAAAAAGTGTTCAAATAATTATAAGTTATGCAACTAGATTTTTTTTTCAGATGCTATGGAAGTGAATCCGTCAAAACATAAAAGTGACATTTCAAAATAAATTTGTAATGCCAAATAAAGATATATCTTATCTTCAAACATACTTAAAATCTATATGTGTGTTTTAACAAAATAAGTTGAATTTTTGTTTTATCATTATCGCGAAAACAGCCTAGGTTTCGTAGTTTAGACCTACCGGCCATAATGTATACATTGTATAACATTTTTGTAATACCGCTGTGACGTCAATGTTGTTTAAGGTTTTTGGACAATGGCTGAATTTACCATTTCCATAACGGATAAATTGTTTTAATTGCAATTAAAAGATAAGATAATAACATCAATTTTGTTTCTTTTAATATTGAATTTATTGCATGTCTTGATTTTATAAAAGATATAATTAATTGCTCACACAGATGCATATTTTTATTTTTACATAATTCTTGAAAAAAAAACTCAATATGAAAATACACTCGTAATACCCTCTTTACAATTGAACAATAATAAAGTAATAGTACACATAAGCAACTTCGTCAATAACTTCCAGTAATTCCCTGTATAGTTCTATCGCCCCTTGTACATCTATTGGAATGCGAAGGTTGGTCTTTAGTAATTGCGTATGCTGTCCATTTCGCAACAAGCACCATGTTGATTTTTCCATAATTGTGTCCACCAAATTTTTCCGGTAGAAAGTAAATTAAATCAGGTTTACCATTTGGTATCTCAGGAGGACTCTTCTTTTTATGTATGTTAAGTAGGTCTCAATTCACCGCTATTCTGTTAATCTCGGCCTGAATCAAGTGTATGAAACATAATTTCAATCATTCACATTGCCACACGCGTGACTCTGAAAAAAAGAAAATTCACATTTGAATTCATTTACTTCTTGTGGTTCCTTTCCAGGTCTCTATTTATTGAAACGTTGTTTTTGTTGTTGTTTAATTTTCGGAAATAAAACTTCTATAAGATTCGACATACATGTATTATTTGTATCATTGTACCGGAAGAACGGTTGGAGTAAAGGTCGACAGAGTTGATATTTTGTGTAGCAATGTTAAACGTCTCCAGTGCTTCAAGATAATACATGGCGACGATGTTTGATCACACCGACAAAGTGTAGGTCATTTGGCGATGTTCCAGCTTTACTAGTGAAGGAAGACCTCAGGTGCACGAACGGGCACCTGAATAGAACCACTGACGTCCTGTAAACTAGCTGGATAGCTTCCTCACATGAAAGAATCCGAAGTCCCTGTCGGGGTTCGAACCCACAGCGGTGAGGGACAAGTAGATTAAAGTCAACGACCTTAACCACTCGGCCACGAACGCTTCAAATCTTAGAATCCAAATAGCACCGTGTATGCAAAAGTCATTTTGGTTTCAGTGTATTGTGACCGTCTACGTGCTATACATTACTTGAACCCTTTATTATTGCGTCTTTTCATTCTGTGGACTTTCCAAGTAATAATTCAATCAGGTCCAATAGTTTCCAACCTATTGTATCCCAGACAAAGCCACGTGCTATAAAACGCGGACATATTCATTGAAGATATCTGAAAAACAAAGTACATAAGCTAATAAACTATAGTTCATAATTCATAAGATGTCAGACAAAAACAATATTTGTATGTAATGTATTAAAATGCTGCTGTACGATGTACAGTATCTTTTCAAATTCTTTCAACTAATATGTAATAGACTAATTGTTTCGTTTTTTTATTGAAATTAAGCCATAGTTGCCAGAAGATGAAAGCTTGAACGTAGACGGAGTTTGGTTCGCATAGAACAATAACAGCTACTTTGTTGTATGATGGTAGAATCTATAGCAATTATGTTGCTAAGGAAAACAATTAGTGCTACGCATGTAAAGTTGTATCTTAATTAAATTGTAACGAAACCGAAGTATTTAATTATGACTAGATTAGAAATATATCAGCTAAAATTTTAGGATTTTTGTTTTGTTTTGTTGTAGTTTAAAGTGACATTATGCTCATTTTTTCATTGTCAAATTGACTTTAATTGACTATATATTTCAATTAACTGGTCGTTATAATTGTGATTGACATGATATTTGAAAATGTTTAGGGTAAAAAATAAGTCTTCCTAGATATATAAAATGACTGCTCCACTCGTTTTCATGAATTGAAAGTTACAGATACATTCCGATGGTTAATTACACACATTTCACAGAACCTAGTGAGTTATTATCGTCCATGTGAAGAAAATTATAAAATTGAAAGGAATTATGAGAAAATGTTAACTTATTTTGGCTTTCACCTGTTCACTCTATTTCTACCCATGTATGGGCATAATGTCACTTTAAGGCAATTTCACAGTATTTCAGTCATATAACTAGTGTACCTGGATTCTGTACCAGTACTAATATCTTTTCCACGAGCTATGCGGGCAGGATATAAGTAACAAGATGTCTGTTTAAAGACCAAGAGCACCAAATACAGGTCTTGAATATACTTAATGCTTTGAAAAAAAGTTAAAAGCGGCATAACTCTATAAAGCCATCAATGAATCAAAGTTCCATTGTTGTTATGCATACAATTATGTCATACAGTTTTGAAAAATAATGAAACAGATGCGAGGAGGAGTAACATTTACAAAGTAAAGTATTTCACAAAATTGGGAGTCTCGTTAAAACATTCTTTTTCCATTAATTTTACAGGAAAGCCTTTACAGAAGTTGTCATTTCATAAACAATATGAATATGTAAAACTGTTCACAATTCAACACTTACCAATGAAGTCTTCTCTTCTTATTTTTGTACCCATTCTGCACGCCGCATTGGTTGCACGAAACGAAACTAATTTAAATATAATTTGCCGCCTTCTGACATAAGTCATAAAGCATAAGACAAAAGTCATTATACATAAGTCATTAGTCATAAGACAAAACTCCTAAGACAAAATGGCACTTATGGGCTTCCGTATATTAGCCTCCATTCACTTTATCACCAGCATAACTTCTTCCTTTTTATGATAAGTTAATTGGTCATATACAGTCTACTCCACTTATAACGAGATCGGTTTTAACGAGGTACCGCTTATAACGCTGTTTCAATCGTAACTGAAAAGGAATAAGTTACCGGAAATGTCCTCGAAGTTACAATTTTACACATATTATACACAACATTGTCAGACCTGAAAAACTTTCTTGAATAACTTCGTGCTCCTATACCAGTTTGCACAAAATGTTGTATATTCTAGCTTAAAATAAATATCTCTATTTATTTTTCATTTCATTTAACTAATATAATTTTGTCAATGACTATTTATTTCCATGGCATCCTCATCTGCTGCCATGCGACATATATTATCTACATTACATCTACATAATATTATGTATCTTTCTTATACATATAGCATTTGAATGAACTTTATTTAAGCTTAAGTACAATATTATCATGTACGTCCGAAACATACAGTACAACTTAACAAAGTTTAGTTACACACGATACATGCAATATTAATAATTATGAACTAATCATCTAAATTTAGACACATATCATATGTGATAAAATATTTATATCACACCTGCCTCTCAATCTTTGTTTATTTTGTGAACAATTGTACAACATTATGATGCATTCCTTTAACGGGATACTGATTATATAACAGGTAAATACATTTTCGAATTTTACCACTACTAATATCTGAAAAAATGATCCCTTGGAGGCATCAAAATCAGCATATCGCATTCAAGCGGCCGTTTAGCAATGCAAATCAGTTCATTTCTATTTTGTTCTGCCTAAAAAAATTTAAAAAATGTGGGGATCGTTCTAACAAAACTGTCAGTTGTTTCATATTTAAGTGATGATAGCTATATTATAGTTAACGTAAAGGTGTCTATCCTCAAAAGAAAGAATACTAATATCAAGAAATAACATATATATGTTTTAAATTTAAACAAACAAAAACAAGTTCTAAGTTAATGGATCTAAGCGCTGTAAAATAATTAATACTGACACCAAACGTACCGACTAATGATTGAAACATCGTCATTGGTCGTTACCCACATATTTCCATTTATTGTCTTTAATAATAATGTACTTTTATTTACAAATCGGTCACATATTTTATCTATTTATTTATATGTACACTTTTTCTGCTTTAAACGTTATGTTTCTTGCAATTCTCATGCCATTCGTGAACTATACCGGTATGTTTACTTTATACATGAGACCATGTTGTAATAACACATATCCTTTAACATGGAGATATACATCTTCAAAACCCGTTTCTCCTGATGTTTATGAGTGTTTATGGTATGTAATTAAAACTTCCAGACGTTTGCCAGTAACTTCATGTATACATAATGATATACATAATGAAAATTTGCTAATGATAAACACAATGCACACTGAGATAATCTGCTGATAACTTTTAAATAACCCTAAAATGGGCTACTTTATTATCATGTTTAGTCCATTATCTGGATTTTGTTCGTGATAAAAGTGCTTGAAAATCTACTACATGCCAAACGACATAACTTTGAGTTATAAAATTTTTGAAACTTTAATCTATATTTTCTACATTATGACCGATTTCTTGAATACAAGCAGCAAGTTGTAATATAAGTGTCTGAATCCTAGATCTTCTAAGCATATAAATCTTAAGCATCCGATCATAGAAGTTATAAATATTATTGACAGGTGATATAGTCATTTTCATCATTATGGTTGTATTACTTGATTTGCTTGGCGAGAATTATATAGCAAACAATCGTTTATTTATGACCAAATAAGTAGTCAAATGCCGTTATATCACGTACTAACATGCACACAAAATATTATTTGTGCAACAATTAAATCATGAAAATAATAATCCAGAATGATTTTATAGGAAACTAATTTATGTAAATCAATTAGCAGAAGATAATTATATCACAAAAAAAATATTCAGTCAAGTTTTCAAGATTTTAAGAGTTTGTTGAGTACAGACATATAGTTAACATAAATCTGTTCATATTTTCTTTCAGTTACTGAAATTGACGCCACCTATGTAGAAATCGCTATTTTACTCTTCGGACGTACTTCCGACGAATATGGGAAATACATGCAAGCATTTTGGCAATGGATGTAACATTTCCGGTAACATATTCCTTTTCAGTTTCGATTGAAACTGCGTTTTAAGCGATACTTCGTTAAAACCGATTTCTTTATAAATGGAGTAAACTGTATATGATCAATTAACTTATCATAAAAAGGAAGAAGTTATGCTGGTGATAAAGTGAATGGAGGCTAATACAATACATAAGTTGCCCGGAATCTGATTTTTTTATGTCATTTGTTCTTGAGGGCTTCGGCATGAAGGATATTATTCATTTAGGGCGTTTATCACTTTACGTTACTAGAATACTATCATACATTTGTTTATTTTATTTTTAAGATCGATAAAGGTCTATAAAGATAAAGATGTACAATAATATCACGCATTAACACTTAGTTTCTGCACGAAGCACACTTTTTTGTTATCTCACTAATAACTGTACTAAATAGCAATCAATAGGACATGAGTAAAAAAAAACAGAATGAATTTGTAATTCTTTTGTTGAACATTTCTGCACCTTGAACAGACGCCATATGTTTTTACTCTCAGAATAAAGTTTGTTTGATTTTATTTTTGCTCCCACTTTACGTGTTTGTCTTTCCTTTTTTGATTAAAATTCTTAGAATAAATCTGCTGAAGTCGACTGCAGCTGTTGTCTCATTTCCGATTACCGGCGTGTGCCTGACCCACTCGTATATATTTGGCGAATACATGTGTGTCCAGAACTTGTGACAATGTTTCGAAGAAAGTATTATTATGAAATAATATTACCCGTTAATTTCCCATAGGCCACTGGGAGTTAAAATGAAAATTAACTTCTCAAGTACACTTACAACGTGCAAAGTAAGGTTACTGTAACTTTTGGTTCAATTTTGTTAAAGTTAGATTTAGTTGAAATTTTCAAACGATTACGGTAATTGTTCTGTGTAATAGACAAATAACACATGTGTGTGTGAGAAACAGTAAAAAATATCATCTCTCGAAATAATACAGTTACCCTCGGCTTACGCCTCGGGAAACAGTCTTTTCCTCGGGATGATTTTATTACTGTTACCCACAAACCGATGTGTTATTTGTATACTATTATATTGCTCAATCTATGATTTGTAAGATGATTGTCGATCTGACAGGTGTGCATGATAGCCCAACTTCCTCTTTGTAGCATCTTTTCGGATTTACTGAAATTAAACTAGATACCGATTTTCCAATCATAAAATCTGTACTGACTGCTGATCAAACAGGTCCTTCCGATGCCCTCGTTTTGTACTCACATTTTTATTATTCTGATTTTGAATGTTGGTCAAATGACATTTAAAAGAACATGACAATAAACTTTCGTATTTTTCAGACACAAATGATGAAACTGCATTAACTGAAAACAGCTATTCACATCATGAACAAAAAGAGGATACATTGCAATCGGAGCTGTCTGCAGACGATGAAACGTAAGAATGAACTAATTTTTGTCTACGCGCCGCTCTTATGGCTGTACAAGCTTTAGAGACATTTCCGTTCCGTGATTTGCAGAATCTATTGAAACATACCACATGAATTAGGAAACCGATTTTTATGCTCCACGAAGGGAGAGCATATAGTCGGAGCTTTATTCGTTCGTCCGTCGGTCCGTTCACCCGTCTGTCCGTAGGTCTATCCCTCCGCATTTTCTTGCCCAAACCATAACTACAAGAGGTATCAACAAGAAATATTGTAGGTAGATAGATGTCATCGAGTAGAAGTATAGTGCATAAAAACAGTAACTCTGGATTTTTACACTTTCAACTTTGTCCGGGACATAACTCTTAAACTACAACAGGTATCAACAAGAAACATAGAAGGAATATAGGTCGCATTGATTAATAGTGCAATGTACAAGAATAGTGACTCTGCCTTTCCTAATTTTGGAGTAATTACCCTGTTTTACACTTTGAACATTGTCGGGGACAGAACTCTAAAACCACAAGAGGTATCAACAAGAAACTTTGTGGGTAGATAGATCTCATTAAGTAGAAATGTAATGCATGAGAACCGTAACTTTGTTTGCCTAATTTTGGAGCAACTGCCCTTTTTCATTTATACACTTTGAACTTTGTCTGGGACATAACTCTGAAACCAAAAAAAATCATATCAACAAGAAACTTTTTATACTTATTTGTGTCCAAAACCTATTCGGGGAGCATCTCCCGGTTCGGCTCTTTGTTGCTTTTGATGGGTCAGTAATAGTTTTTAACCAGTAAAATCCGATAAATGTCATTTTTGTTTTATAATCCTGGTTACAAAGTGCAATTGAAAACTGCATGTACTTCATGTAAGAGTTTTTCACCAATCATAATTAGTTCCTTTTCAATAAATGCAAAACTCTTCCGTAAAAATGTTACGAACAAAATATTTTACAAGAAAAGAAAATAAAGAAAAGAAATCAACAACAACAAAAAGAACTGGTAAAATAATAAAACGTGTAGGTCTTTCTGGATATAATCTAATATATGATAATGTACTGATTGCATGCTTCTTTTTATGCGGAAAAATAATTGGGTAACCCATGTTTACTAAAACAAAAAACATCTTTCAGTTTTGTTTGCTGTCTGACAGTTTTCTCAATAAACCATTTCTTTGAAAAAATTAATATTTTGAGTATTGACTAATTCAGTATTGTTTGACGTTATCAAATGATAACAAATATCTTTTGTTTGTTATCTTTGTTTAATAGCATAATATGATATAAATTATATGCTATAACAAAAATAATAATCCAGATAACTAACTCTGTATATTATAAACTATGATTAGCATTTATCTTTGACATCATTTGAACACAAATAATTCCCCGACCCAATTTTTTGACTGACAAAGATAACAAATACGTGAAGATCATAAATATTATACAAACAAATCTCGAAATTTGATTGGCTTAAACACTTCTAAACGTTATGTATATAGACCACGAAGAACCAAAGCGCGCACAAATGACATATTTTCTACATTCGTAGACGGTTTCATGCGTGCATTGCGTTTTATTCTTTTTAGTATAATTGTTTTCGATTCAAATATCATCCTGTCCTTAAGGTTTTAATACTTTTTCCTGAGTTCCGTCTTAAATCTCAGGATTTTCATCGGTATAAGTACATTCTGTGGCCATTTCTGATCAATCGAATACATTACATCTTAGTTTGAGCTTAGAAAATTTCTCTATAACTTCGGACATTTTGTTGGAGAACATATCGAGTAAACTGGGCTGCGTCGTATCCTACAAATTGTAAACAAACACCGCCATCTTGGAACAAAAAAGGTAATTTTGTTTATATCTCTTTTTGTTGGAAATGACTGAAAACCAGATATATGTATTAACAAGTTCCACTATTTTCCTCTTTGTTCGGTATATATATAGTGCTTGAACAACTATTTTGTAAAACAAAAGTTATAGCGAACTTTCAATTCGAAGCCAACCAGATTTTTATGAAGTTTTGTAGATACGACGCAGTTCATATTGCTTTGTCCATCGTTTTTTCTTCAAATTAATTATATACTCGTTCCATACTTTACCATAACTTACTAAATATAATTTTGCATCATTTACTAAAATTTTATTAAGAAAAGATGTTTATTTTCCAAGAAAATAATAATTTTTAAGATGATATGACGCAGATGAAAATTAAATATGATATGACGAAGTTGTATTTTTTGGCAATCTTTTCAACACGAATAATTTTCTATTTTATAATGACAAGAACTATTAGGGCCAATGAGATTCCCAGATTTCAGTTTTTAATTTTAAACTGGCCAGTGATTTCTTTATTTTTAGTTCTTCCCTGTAAATTTTACTGGAAGACAAACTGATTTTAGACGGCCTTCGGCCAGAACAGCAGGCAACATAATTATATCATAAAGGGGGCTTTTTCTTCAGAAATTCTGAAACCACTAAACAAGAAAACAGTTTTATTGGTGGACACACACACACACACACACACACACACACACACACACACACACACACACCACCAACACACACACACACACGCTCGCACGCACGCAAATTATTAACCAGTTCGTCAAGATGGCGCCGGAGTGCTAAACTTTCAGAAATGTCTGAAATACTAAAATTATGTTTATGCTCATTTGTTGTTGATAATTTGCTGATCGAAAGTTATTTTTCGATAAATCTGTATATTCTTAGTTTATGTTCAAACCAATACGAGCGTGTCAGCACTATAAACGTCCGATTTCTAGTAGCTTCCCTTTCTCTTTTAAGGGTTTCGGTCTTGTCACATTATTAATTATTAGTTATATTAATTATTAGTACGGACGAAATTAAAATTTAAATTTCGTGTCGTTATGTTTTCCCTTTAAATTCAATTTTCACACCTGACCTAAATAGTTTTTCACCAAGATAGCATTTCATTGTTTTGGTCCTTCTCAAGGCATGTGGTTTACTGCTGTGGTGTTACAGACATTTTACGCTTACAGTCCTCGCTTGTACGTCTTATTTTTTTATCCGCATTTTAAATATATGGACAGAATTTCACTCCGAGAAGAATCAATACCGATTCTATAGAAAATGTGGATTTTATTGTCGTATCGTCTTATTGTTGCTCCTGATGTCCAGTCAGTTAATATTTAATCTTACGCTGGCACATCCGGGTTTCATTCTACTTTGTAGCCAATAAGTAACCTGTATGACTTACAGTATTCAGTTACTCGTTTCGGTTTTATACAATTTCCACAGTGGATGAACGAAATCACTGTACTATGTCTCGCAAGTCTATGAAATTCAATGTGTACCGTGTTTTGCAACTACAAGCCTCCCAGTGAACCTTTCTCATCAGTCTATATATTTCAGCTTGTACCTTTTTTGCAAATCGGGAAGTAGATTCATTTATCCACTGTGAACTCGTTAAATTTTGAAGTTATGTGAACTTATATATACCATTCAAGATTTAAATATGGATATGATCTTACTTTTTTAAACCACCATGCAACTGTTCCTATGTTCAGAATCTAGAACAATTTCGTGTAAATTATCTATAAAGATAATTGAAATATTTATAGACATAAAGTAGTTCAAAACTTACATTATTCTTCTAGAGATTTCAATTTTGCATCGAAGAGAGACGAAAACGAACTTGTCATGTCAACATCAGCAGATGGTAAGAATCACGTTCAATACATATATTTTGTCATATTTTGCTATTTTAACATCAATGCTATAATTTTACTTGCCCAAAATGTAAATCTTTGATAAGTGTTATAATTGCTGTAAAGCATACATCTATTTATAAAAAAAATATAATTGTTAATGCAGATTTAATGACAAGAGTCCATCATTCAGCTGGCTATTCAATCCTGAATTTTCATTTGGGGTGTATCGCTTCCGGGTATGTGAAACCAGTAATTTACGTGAAAATCTAAAAAAGTCATATATTGTATAGTGAACAAAGAAAGTAATTTACACATTGCAAATTACACTTATAGTCCATGTAAATTACCAAAAAGAGGTAAAATATGCAGAAATAGCCCTTACTGCGTTAATCAAGCAGTAGAATAATGGTAATAAATACTGCACAAAAATGTATCCACATTATTCCGTTTGTTTATAGAGAATTTATTTTAGTTACATTGTTTTGGAAGCTCCATGGTTATGGAAGCACCTAGAACCAAATAGTACTTATCAATTGTTGTAAACTTTCATGCTCATTTGTCCGTGACGGGATTTGAAAATTCACACCGCTGTCCTTACAATATTCGACCCAATCGGAACGTCCTCGGCTATTATTATTAATAATCTCGTAAACAATACGGATTGAAAGTAGTTCTACGTGGTTTCAGATGTAAACAGAAACAGAGATAATGTAAAACGAATGTATATAAGAAAAGTTATGTCTGTTTCGGTACTCTTATGCTTAAAAATATGTCTGACAACAATTGTAATTTAATCATGCCCACTGTCAACAGGTTGGCTTTTTTGTACTTATATAAATAATGTATTGTTTGCTTTTGTACCTATGAATTCACTTATTTTAGGTGGACTTATACTACATATATCGGAAATAATCCCAGCATTAAATTACTATTTGTTTATATTTTTAGTTTCTTAGCGTAGGTTAATTAGACCGAAATACCGCATCCGTTCTGTGTATTCATACTATTGTGTCAAAAGACTGACGGAAAGGGCCGAAAAGTTGCGATTGATAATAAACCGACGGATAAACCACTCGGCAGCTGTCACTTCCGATAATCTGGAAATATTTCTGAATAATTTAGCGTTACTTTTTATCATAACAATTAGCCTAATAATGAACGACCCATTTAAATGAACTCTAGCATTTATCAAAACAGGTGACTCCATTGATCACATTATGTTTTGGCAGATTTTGAATGGACGTATTTTTTTATTAGTACAAGTAGGGAAAGAAGGAATAATGGGAAGATTGAAACAAAAATATTCAAAACTAGGTGTATCAACTTTATAGTTGAATTTACGGAAAATGAATACTCTGACCTGATCGATTATTTGTCGTATCATTTATTAAAAAAAGATTAACATTCATGTACAGGGAAATGCTACGATACACTATACACTATATCTGGAAAAGATAATATTGGAAAAACACAGAAAATATAATAACTTTACCTTAACATTACCCATTAATTAAAGGGAAGTCGTTAAAGTTTGACTTAAGATTCTATAATCTTTTCATCACAAAATCTACTACATATTTTACCATCATTGACGTGCTACCATTTTAACAACACCAAACTTTTGATAAACGTCTACTAAATTATTCCATCCAGGGTTTTTAAAATATCAAATTTGAAAGACCCATTTCAAATATGGCCGCTGGCTGGACGTCAATATACACATTGTGAGCGGAAATTACATTTTTCTTTCTGCAAATATACTTTTGCTTGACTTTTTTCCAAGTCAAAATTTAGAAATATTTGCCCTATGTTTTCTGTTTTACATGTCTATTGTTACACAGAAATGAAATAATGTCTGGAAATTTATCAGAGCTTTATCTGATTGCAATCGATCAAAATCAAGTGGTTTAAAAGCGACACATCTGCAAGACTTTTGTTTCGGTATCAAGGTCACATGGTACATTCAACTTGGAATAACGATGGATATTGAATATGATATATGGTCTACTAAGATATATAGAACCATTGATGATTATTGACACGGGAATAAGAATTACAGGAAATATATATATATTTCATTCATAATATTCACAAGTTTGCTGTAAGATATAGAAACTACACATGTATATGTTTGTATGAATACCGTTTCAGAGTCAGGCTTCAACAGATACTCATTGACTTGCAGTAGCGGGTATTCAAGTTAGTTATTTGTATTTTTTTTTAAAACATAGCATATCGATACCATATAATAGTAGAATATGCAGACTTATATTCAGATATGATAATCTAATCTATCAATACACTAGGTTAACTATACAATAGCATTCCAATTGATAATAGATAGTATTGAAGGATTAACACCGAGAGTCAGACAAACTTTGAAAGGACTTTTCAGCTGAGAGACAAACTTTCTGTCTATTTCTATACTGCATATTTGGCGACGGGAAATTATGTGATTGAGTGTTTAAAGCTTGAAAAGACGTTTTGGTAAACTACAAAATGTACTCGTTTGACTATTTGAATACTTCATATGATACTGGTGTTCAGTACATTTCTTACTTTAACAGCAAATGTCTGTAAAAAGTCAGTAAAATGATTGTATATTTTTGCTGAGCGGACACTTACAATAGTATAATAGTTATGTACAGCCTTCTTTTGCCTATAGGTTTATATCATTGGAGTGTCATGTTTCATAAGCTACTGGTTACCATATGACTGGCAGTATAACAACCGCGTAAATGCCCTTGTCGGTCGCTTAAACTTCGAATATGTCACTAAAATACAGCTGTGGGTAATATTACAATGAATTCCTTTAAAAGCAAATTTTGGTAATCATTCAAATGTTCTATTATATCTTTTTTTCGAAACCGCTGTGAGTTCGAATCCCGACAGGGACTTTGGATTCTTTCATGTGAGGAAGCTACCCAGCTAGCTTACGGGACAACGTTGGTTCTACTCAGGTGCCCGTTCGTGCCTAAAAAGGTGCACTGAAGGGAACCTGAGGCCTTCCTCCACAAGTATAGCTAAAACGTCGCCATATGACCTATACTGTGTCGGTGTGACGTAAATCCCAATCAATCAAACAAACAAACATGATATCTTTATTTTCAATTTTTACCTTTACTCATCACAATCTACCTTCAATTTCTTTTTAAACTTTGTATTTTCAAATCATTCCTGAAACAGAATAGTATCCACTGTTGGATAAGTTGAATTATCACTACTTTTAATCATATAATCTCTGTCCCTTACCTATTCAGCTTTAAAAATTTCTTTAATAATTATGTACTTTTAGAAGCAAACGTGTATCAAAAATTCTAATCTCAACCACTCTTTTGTTTAGTTTTCTGTATAATCTATTTTTTTCTTCATGCAGCTTTTTCTTCCGGAAATACTAGCTATAAAGAGAGGGTAAATATATCCAGCTTCTATCTGTCTCCCATGGAGGAAATCAATATGCCACCTGTAAAGCGTGGCCTGGCAAAAGAAAACGAAAGCCACATAAAAAGAAACTTCCGATATTTGAAGGATGAACTAGATGTAGATTGTGGCCTGATTGATTATTTTATCCAAGAGGACATCTTTACTGAGGATCAGGTCGATGCTATAAGTTCAGCTGGTTCAAGACGTCGCAAAGTTGACTGTTTCCTTCGGATGCTTCTACGTTCAAAGGATTCTGCGTATGATCATTTTTTCCATGTTCTTAGCGAATTTGGATATGACCACGTTCGAACGTTTCTTGAATCTAATTGTTCAAACCAAACAATAGGTGTGTTTATATTACTTATCTCAGAAAGATATCTTTGTTTATGATAAACATTTGCCGTAAATAAATAAAAACGATGACCGATTAAATGCATTCTGTTTAAGTCATAATGTTTTTGATTATATATCTTACTAAATAATATTTAGTAGCGCTTTCAATCCAATAAGATTATACAAATTGTATGTTCATCTTTTTATGAATTAAACACAGTTCTTACAATAAGAATTTAGTCACAAACAGCTAGACAGGTATTTAGATAGTACAATTAATAGTTTCATTTTGTTATATGTTTATTTTTTAAGACTTGGAAAATGGCACTGCTCTATGTAACAATGCTCCATGGATTATCATAGAAACGCATAAAGTCGTTATTTTGGAACAGCTAGAACCGGACAGTATTGTAGATTACTTCTTGCAATATGAAGAATTTACTGTAGACGAGTATGAATCTGTTATATCTTTCCCTACACGCCGGGCTAAAGCTGAAAAACTTTTGGAAATACTGTTGTATGCAAATCACATGCCTCGAGGATATTATGTATTCATCAGAGCATTGGAGGATACTACAGAGAATTATTTACTTGAACAGCTTACAAAAAATACCTCAGGTCAATACAGTTATTATATTTTGTGTCCTTGTTTTTATCTTAGTTGACTTTTTTGTAATACATTTAATGGGACTTGCCCTTTCTGAAACACTTAAGGACGTTTGGAGATAAATTCCTCTTTCAATTCAAGTCTTGTACGACCAACTCGAGTTATGTAATAAATTTTAAACATATTAGCGAAAGTATCGAATTCATAGCACTTTCACATTTGTATTTTCTTATATATCATCTCGGTATAGATGCATGATGTAACATAGCTTTTCTTTCGATCTTAGAGAATTTTACGATAAACGGTTTTAGCGGAATAATCGTTTATTTGAACATCTGAAATACTTATCTGTTCTATAGGTATACAAGCAGAATCAGAGCCAGATGATACCGTAGAAAGGCCCAGGAATGATAAAATTTATAAGATTTATTCACAGAGGAAACAAAATCTATCGGAAGGAAAGTATTGGTGTTTTGTGTTGTGGAAAACCCTTTTTTAAAAGTCCAATCTGAATAATTTAGTTTAATTGATATGGAGGGGTTTGGTTCATCTCCCACATACCCTACATCTATGACATGTTTATCATATGTTATAAGTATTAGGATATAACATTCAGATTGTTCATAAAATAAATATACACATATGAGTAAGACTTGTCTGGAACCACTGAAAATATGAGCATTTGGTAAAGTTGAATAGTCACATGCTAATTAATTAATATTAAAATTGCCTGTTAAACATATGCTCTATTTTTCTTTCTTTGTTGATATATTTTCAGTACATGTCGCCTTTACCTTTTTTGATATCTGTTCTTATATTTTGATGTAACAGGTTCTAATACAGAAGGGATCGTTGGGCAGTTCAGTATAATTGGAAATAATATGCTTTTGCAATTACAATTTTTTGTGTAAAATTTCATTCCTTTTTACATACATGCAAGGGTTAAACGTAAAACACACAGAAAGACACTTTAAACGTAATACCTCATGTAAATTTCATTGTCATCTGTTAACAAAAATAGTGAAAATATCTTAAAGAAATAAAACATGATGAAATTATAAAAATTATAGAAAAATGTATACCGACATCATAAATAATTTTAGGCTTTATGATTATAGAGATGACGTTGTTAGTATCTTTGACGTACAAAGCTTTATAAAATTTTCATGCCTATTTAATTTCCGATCATACCCGCGTCTGCACCGCTCGCTATTTATCTAAACCATAATTGCTATATAACATGAGCTTCGAGATACATTTAAATTTATTAAATTTAATTCAAAACCTATTTCAACCAAAGTATGCCATTTCTAAACAATCCCAAATATATTTGTTCGGGGCATTTCTTCTTAGCTTCCAATTACCTTCGTTATTTAAAGATGTATGGCCGAACTAACACATTTGGGGTTGTCTCTCTATTCAAAATTCCACCATTTCATTACTAAATGTTTTGGGCTTTTTTAAAGGGATTCCGTTCTCTCTATTTCTTACCGTTAGTTAAGTCAGGCTTACTTCATTTTTTTTGTTTTAAGAATTTAAAGCACAAGTATACATCTAAGGTTTAATTAATTAAAGAGTGTTAATGTTATCAATTTCCTCTATCATCTCCTTAGATAAAAAAAACTTCGTAAAGTGGCACAATTGATCTAAATATAATATTTGTTCTTAGATAATATTTATCTTTTGGTATAATTTTATACGTTTTTATGTTTCATAGATGATTGCGAAACTACTCTTAAAGTTACAGTCGTTGTCACGAAAAAAGACCGGAATGGGACAAGGACGCAAAGCAAACCACTTGAAGAGAGAATTTTTAAATCTATAACAAAGGAGGAAACTATAGTGGAAATAAATGATGTTCTTATACCCGAAACACAGTCTTTGATTATAAACATCGAGAAAGGGAGTATTGTTTTTCGAATCAAATGCTATGGTTCCAGGCAACATAGCACTGAGGAAAAAGACGCTGTGGTCATCGAAAAGGTCTTGAAAGTCATTTTCTCAAACCCACAAGTACAGAAGCATCTTGGGGACAATGAAGTTTTTTTCACAGATATTGAATACATTCAAACAAATGATAATAAGCAGATCGATGGTATATCCATTACTATTCTCTTTGTTTACTGAAATTAATATGTATCTTAAGTTTAAGCATGAGCATGAACTACTTTCGTTATACGCCACTGCATAAATATTACACATTAAATACGATTTTCCTTTTTTTCAGGAACCAATTTCAAGAGTAAAGACATCATTTCAGAGAATAGGTCCTTTCTGGTTGAAGAGCTCGACTCAATCATGTTTCAAAACCTTGATATTTTCACTGAGCAAGAAAAGGATGCAATTTCACAGCTAAGAAAAATATCTCGCGCTAAAGCAACGATGCAAATGTTGACATGTCTGTTAGCTAAACCCGAATGTGATGTTGACAAATTTACAGCGGAAATTAAGCTGAAAAAGAAATTTGTTTGGAATCATATCTTCCTTGAAGGTATGGATTTTATTGACGTTTTAAATATTTTTGAATTAATTCCTTTCTGCCAATTTGAAGGCACACTTCTGCAGCTATTGGATGCAACTTAATTCCAGAATCACTCATTTTTTGATATCTGTACAAGTTTTGCATATTTTAAGGGTATGTTCTGAATTGACCTAAGATTTAATCAAACAAATATGTTTACCATAGGTCCTTCTTTAATGTTAATTTCTAATTTCATAAAATATCCGACTTTGTTTACGTTAACGACACTTATGTTAAAATGCTAGTTTACGAAATAAACTGTATCTTTTGTAGCTACTCAACATTTAAGTGACGATCAACTGGTCTCTGGTTATCGTATTCTTGTCGATAACCTGAGTCCTACACTTCTAGCCTGCCATTGTATAGAACAAGGAGTATTACCGAACTGTCAAAGTTTAGTATCATCATTACAGCAACGGACATTACGTGCAAAATTCATGCTCCAAGAAATTATGAAAAGAGGATGTCGTGAAAGGGCAACTTTCCTGAGAATTATTTCAAAACTTGACAGTAGTACAGGGAATATGAGTATGGAAAACGAAGGTAAATTTATTTAATGGCGAGCATATATGAGGTTCTTCAAAATATATCTTTGTTTACAAAATAGTTTTGAGATGAGATATGTATGGATAAAAATAACACGGATCATTATTTAAAAACTTAAAAAAAACTTTTGCAAAAAGATTATGCAAGATATATGTACTTGATTTATGTTAGTTTATACTATTTCTTTTTAGTTCGATTTTGTTGGAAGCTATAAATAAAGTTATTGAAACACTCTCATCTGTTCCTGGAGTCAGCCAGTACTTAGTAATGAATGTAAGGTTTCTTGCTCACGGAAAAAACGGTTTGTCACTGACGGGGTTTAAACGCACGCCGCCAGCAATCTTTAAATTACTAATCCGAACCGTTTACCACTCGGTCACGCCAATGCTTTTTTAGTTATTAAACTATCTCTGTTTTAATTATTGTAGAAAATGATATTATTGCAAACTATTCACATGTTACATTTTAAATTGAAATTAAATTCAGGATACCGGCTCGCATCAAAGCAAAAGATTAAAGATGATAGTGAAGGTGGTGCGTGCAGGTCGGCAATGCCGACCAAAATGGAACCTTTTAATTTGATGTCTGAGAATGTTGCGGAAACATACACATCTTGTCAAGAAATGACAGAAAGAGGGAGGAAAAATGGATAGAGTGTTAAACTTAAATCTGTGAAAAAGGAATAATGAGAAACTGAGCGATTTATCCAGCGTATTTTCGGTATGAAATATTTCCAATTTGATGACCGACACAAAAATAAATACAGTATGTTAATGATACAAAAATATTGCACCAGTTTAGTGATAGTTAAAATAACAAGAATTCCAGACATTTGGCGATTGATCATAATAATAGGCTCTATTCCTTATGTCCGTATCAAGCTATTGGTGATGAATTTCACTACTTATTTGAATGTTTGTACTTTAATGTCATAAAACGTAAATCTCTTCCTCCCAGGTTTTATATTCATCCCAATATTGTAAATGTTGTATTGAATTCAGTACTTAAAATGAACAATACGATTTCCTTTCTTTGTTTATTTAGCTAGTCATAATTGTATTCTTTGATTGTGATATTAGTGAGTTTTGACTGCTATTTTTCTGTTTGTTTGTTATAACCAGTTGCATATTATATGCCTTGGTTTAATAAAAACTGAAACTGAACAGTACCTTTAACAATATCTTTAAAGGATTTCTATGCATATGGTGTAAACTTTTTGAAGTTTTAATAACCAATTAACATACAGTAAATGTATAGCTCAGAAATTAGGTATGGATTTTTAACTAGTTTATTTTATGACTGTAATGCATGCAAATGTAAATGTTTTTATGAAAATAACTTTAACAATGTATCTAACAAATTTTATGAGGTGTGTTATATAAGTTACAGCGTTAGTCTGAAAACATTCATGTGAGTCTTTTAAAGTACATTATCTATGTACATCGGAAACAGAAGAACAATATGATAAAGTAATATCAATTATATGCTAATATCTATGGATACTGGCATTTATAAGCGTTGTTAAATTATGCTGTAGCGTTCATACATACACTTTAATTTTCAAACGTTTTGTTGATAATTTATTTTTCAATACTTTTAATAGCTATTTTAAAAGAAGACTACTTAGTTTAGAATATAATGTAAACAAGAAAAAGCTTACTACTTTATCTAAATCTGGAAATGGAAATGATGTTACAAATCAAAACGATATCAACAATTTTGACTATTGTTCTAAGGGCTTGCGGTTTGCGTTCGTCAATATACAACATTTGATGCCAAAAATGGATGAAATCAGATATCATCTAGGAAAAATGAACAAACCAGATGTGAAACATATCTAAATGAAAATATTTAAAATAATGATTTGAAAATAGAAAACTTTGTTTCGAAAAAAGGATAGAAATGGAAGAAACGGAGGGGGTTGATAGTTTTCATAAATGAGAAAGTGCCCTACAAACGTCGTAATGACCTAGAAAATGAAAATTTAGAATCTCTTTGGATAGAAATACAAAAACGTTTCTAGTAAACTATGTATACCGCCCTCCAAAAGTACGCCAATCATGGATTGATGAATACGAACAACAACTCGATGAAATTGATTCGAAATATTGTGAGTACTACATTCTAGGCGATGTGAATATTAATGTTATGCCTGATAAATTCAGAAATAAGTTCAATAATACAAAATGGTCTAATTTAATATCAAAATTTGGTCTAAGGCAAATCATTCAAACTCCAACAAGAACAACTAAAACTAGTGCAACAATTATTGGTCATATTTATGGCTGTGTGAATAGTCATACACATGTCTGTAGTATATTTGTATCAAATTTAACAATTAGTGATCACATCCCTGTATGTTTCATTAGAACAGTTAAGTCACGAGTTAAACGTGGTTTTCATAAGATAATGAAATATAGATCATTCAAGACATTTAATGAACAATCTTTACAGACTGATTTAGCTCGATCTTCTCTAGAATCTGTAGAGTATATTGTTGATCCAAATTTAGCTTTACAAACCTTTTGTTCAATAGTAAAAGATATTATTTCCAAACATGCTCCAATAAAAGAAAAGAGAATAAAATTTGATACACAGCCTAAATGGTTCACTGATGAAATAAAAGCAATGATATTTTTAAGAGATAAATATCACAAAAATGGAGATTTCGATGAATATAAATTATTACGAAATAAAATAAACTCAGAGATTAAGAAAAGCAAAAAGAATTTCTTCAATAATGCAATAAATGAAAGAAAAAAATCCAAAATATATTTGGCATAATATTATGATTTAACTAATTTGGGTAAAAAGGAAAATGTACATATTCCCGAACGGCTCACTTTTGGCGATACTACATTTACTGATCATGCTTATATTATAAATGAATTGAACAAACATTTTGTAAACATTTCTAATATTGTCGAAAAAGAACAGTTATCTAACGACAAATTTAAAATATTGAAGGATAAGTTAGATAATAAATTGAAATGGAAAGAATTCAAATTTGAAAGCATTTCTGCATTTGATGTTAAAAACATTATTGATAAACTAGATGCAAATAAAGCAACTGGACTAGATGAACTAGGTCCAAAAATAATAAAATCGTGTGGTGATTTTGTTACCCCAATGATTGCTAGCATAATTAATAATAGTGTTAGACAAGGAATATTTCCCGATGAATTTAAAAATGCCCGAGTTATTCCAATTTTCAAATCTGGACTGAAAGATGATCCGAGCAACTATCGACCTATTTCTATCTTGCCTACAATAACCTAAGATTTTTGAACGTCACATAGCTAATCAGTTACAGCATTTTTTCCAAGAAACAAATATTTTAAATAATAAACAATCAGGATTTCGAAAGAATCATTCATGCAATACGGCCCTTATTTATTTGATAGACTCCTGGCTAAAAGATGTTGATAGTGGCTAATATATAGGTACAGTATTTTTAGATCTGCAAAAGGCGTTTGATTTGGTTGACCATGAAATACTTTTATATAAACTCAAACTTTATCACTTTTTTGTCACATCATTAAAACTGTTTAATTCGTATCTGTCTAAACGTATGCAAATAATTCAAATTGGAGACTTAAAATCTGACGTACAATATGTTACCTCTGGCGTTCCACAAGGCTCAATATTAGGTCCTTTACTGTTTCTTCTTTATATAAATGATCTCCCAAATATTTGCGAGGATGTTAATATAGATTTATATGCTGATGATTTCACGTTGCATAAATCTGGAGATGACATATCAGTTATAGAGGAAAAACTACAATATAGCCTTAATATGATTGTTAAGTGGTGTAAAATAAATAATATGCTTTTACACCCTAAAAAATCCAAAAGTATGCTAATAGGAAGTAGACAAAAGCTAAAGATTGCAAAAGCATTAAATTTGAAAATTAACGACTCAACTCTTGACAATGTAGAATCACAAAAAATGCTTGGTATTTATGTTGAAAATACACTCAATTGGCACTGTCAGGTAAATGATGTGTGTAAAAAAATGAACTCTAAAGTTAATTTATTTTAGACGTATAAAGTACTTTTTAAATAAGGAATCTCGCATGCTTTTTTATAATGCATACCTTCTTCCTATTTTTGATTATTGTTGTAATATATGGGGAAAAGAAAACAAAAAATATATATGCCAAATATACAAAATACAAACCCGAATTTGCAAAATTATTCTAGACCTTCCAATGAGAAAACGATCAGAAAATTTATACAAAAGATTAAAAATATTGCCTTTCAAAAAAAGATGTATTTTTCACACCGGTGTCCAATATATATAAAGCACTCAGTAATATGTCCCCTCAATATATCCGAAACTTACTTACCATATCAAATAATCAAAAGTATAAT